GATCTTCCTGTCAAGTTGGTTCTCAGATTCAGCTTTGTACACCTTAAACATATCTAAGACTTCATCTTTAGTTTTGAGAAGATAAGTGTAACAATATCTGGAGTGATTGTCTATAAAAGTCATAAAATACCTCCTACCCCCTCGGGTGAGAGCTCGGTTTGAGTCACACACATCACTATGAATTAATTCGAGAGGTTCGGAGTTTCTAGTTATAGACTTGAAGGGTTTTTTAGTGTGTTTCCCTTGAACACAGATTTCACACTTAGATGAGGGATCATGAGAAGATTTGGGAATAAGGTTTAATTTACTCATTCTCTGCAAGGTTTGGAAATTGACATGTCCAAGTCGTCCATGCCAAACATTACAAGACTCAATAATTTGTGCAACAGAAAGCTCAGGAATTTTATTAGAACTGGAATTGATTACATTGAGTTTAAAAAGGCCATTATAGATAAAACATTTTCCTATGAAAACATTACTCTTTGTAATCATAAATTTGTTGGATTCTTTTACAATTCTATAACCAGCTCTAAGAAGAAGAGATTCACTAATCAGATTGCGACGAAGAGAAGGAACATGATAAACGCCTTGCAGATGCAGAGCTTTCCCAGAAGTCATGGTGAGCTCTATACGTTCACTTCCTATTATTGGTTTAGTGGAGTCATCTGCTAAGCTTATGCTTCCTCCACGTGATTCCTGATAATTTAAAAACCAAGAGTGATCATTACAGACATGGATATTTGCTCCGGAATCCAAATACCAATCCGTGGAGGAAGTTAGAGAATTTATAAGATGAGATGAAGAGGCTAACCTGAAGGAGGTTGGATTCATTAAAGTTAGAGAATTTACAAGATGAGATGAAGAGGCTAACCTGAAGGAGGTTGGATTCATTTCAATCATATTTACTTTGTTTGATCCATTTTCTTTAGGGGCAGGTTTGGCCGGTTCCTTCTTCCGAAATAAACAGCTAGGACCCATGTGATTGGTTCTACCACAGACATAGCAAAACTTTCCATCAGACTTATGGCTGGAAGAGATTTGATTTGAAGGAAGATTTGTCGAAAGGTTGTTGGTTTTTCTTGAATTTCTTCCCTTTGGGTTTGAAATTCCTAGATTTAGGCTTATCTTCTACCAAGTTTACTTTAGCTTTTGATTCATTCTTGGTTTTGGAATTTTACCTATGCTAATCTTCAATACGAATAGCTTTGAGGGCTTCAGTTAATGTTAGATCTCCTTACTTGTGTTGGAGATCTCCAACAAATCTAGACTAGGAGGGAGGGAGTTTATTAATCAAACAGGAAACTTTATAGTCATCAGTAAAAGTATTTCCTTTTGATTGGAGATGACGGAGGAAATCTAAGAATTCATGAATTTGTTCATTAATGGGCTTGTCAATTTCCTTTTGATTGGAGATGACGGAGGAAATCTAAGAATTCATGAATTTGTTCATTAATGGGCTTGTCATCAACCATCATGAACTTATTGAATTGTTCATTAATGGGCTTGTCATCAACCATCATGAACTTATTGAAGGAGGAAGAAGTGAAACACAGAATTTAGGCATCATCATAGCCATATTCTGTTTCAAGGACGTTCCATAGGTCTTTTGCACTTTTGAACTCATAGTATATGTCATAAAGGTTGTCCGCAATTACACTAAAAATCCTATGAAAACAATGATAATTGATTTCTTTTGGTTTCATAGAGCTAAAACAGGAGCTAGCACCAGAACCAGAAGTAGAAGGAGCAGGCTATTCAGGATCAGGAGTCAAAGGTTGTGAACCACTAGTAGAAGACTCAGGAGTGTTAATAGCAGATAAGAGACCTAAGGTAGTGAGCCAGTATCTCATCTGATTAGCCCACCATTTATAGTTGGCACCGATGAACTTGTCAAGTTTGACACTTTTTGAATGATCAGGAATTGCCATAAGTCCAATTCGAGTTTACTAGTTTAGGTAGATGGAATCTGATAGAATAAAGGATTTAGTCAATTCTACTAGACCAGAAACTTAATTAAACCTTCTCTTAACCAAAAACTCTGAAAGTAAAAAGATTAAAATTTTACCCAGGTAGTTTGGCCAGGTAAGGATAGTACTAGAGGTTGATTAAAGATCTATTAAGTACTTCGTTACTTGCAGAGCGCTTTACGCAACCCTTAAACCTTACCTTAGATACCAACTAATCCAAGAAAACTTAAACTGGTTCACTTAAAGATTTCTTGTTCTTTTACTGTATATATGTATATAAAAAGTGACAGATGCAGAAATTGAGTACAGTAGCAGCAAAATAAAAATCCTTTTTTAACAACTAATTTAGAGGTAAAATTAGTTAACAAATTAAAAAAGTTAACTATAGGTTAAAAATACAGATTTAAAATTAACAGCAAAATAAATCAATCTTTTAGATTGCTATCAAAACAGAAATATAATAATAATATAAAATCCAAATTAAAGAGTTAGAAAATTCAGGCCTAATCGGGAGCAGTCGTGATGTCACTGCCCTAGAAGATTGTGGACCCGCCTATCGTCCTGATGTAATTTGTCCCCTCTCCCCTAGCAGTAAAAACTCCTAGAATCGGCCGACCTCTGCGCTCGAGCTTGAGTCACAGAGCTTATGCTCAGACGAAAATGGTTGCCCAAAATATAAATGTAAAAGTGTAGCCGAAATAACTTGGGAGAAAAGAGAGTGGAGAAAGAGAGCTTTGGAAGTTGTTCTTCTCGTTGTTGTATATCTGAATGAGGTCTACAGCTGCTTATATAGGTGAGGAGAAGTGTAACCCCCGCTAAATCAAAGGAACCATTGTGCACGAATCCCGCTTCCGTTACCCGCATGCAGCCGTTACAAAACGTGTAAAACATGCAAAATAAAAGCTTGAGAAGCAAAAATGTGTGTATATATATATATATATATATATATATATATATATATATATATATATATACACACACACACACACACATACATATATATGTACATACATATACATACATACATGTATGTATGTATGTATGTGACTATTCTCACACCTTGAAGTCAGAAATTTTATTTGTAAAGATCCACAATGTTTTTCTGATTGTGAATGGATCTATTATGCACAATTCCGAGCATATTTGACAATAAACATTTTTCTTACTATGGTACTTTGATGTAGGGGTGAATCCTTGATAGCCCATTGATTGTGGCAGGATGAAGGTTGCGAGGTGATGGATGGGGAAGGGGAGAATATAGAATCAGTTGGAAGGAGACAAAGCAATATGAGAGACTCGATGAAGGAAGAACTCGTCTTGATAATTAATGGGCTCGCCATGATATTTATCATTCAAATTCTAATTATTCATGGTTTATTGCTTTGCTGTCATGGTCTTTGAATATGTTTTTATTTGTTAGATTTGCATTTCAGTTAAGAGTTGTAGGATGTGGAGAAGTTGTAAACCTTGTAAATGGTCTAAACTCAAAGTTTTATAGTTGATTATCACTTCATTGAATTTATTGACGAAGTTTATATCGAACACACGTTATTTTTTAATTGATTAAGTTAATTTCTTATTTATGATAGTAATTATTTGTTTCATTCTAATGATATCATGTATTAAAATAAATGATTAGAAATAGATGAATATCATTACTACAGTTGGATGTGAGAATAAGCAGTATATTTTGGTGAAAATATTTTTTAATGCCCTATAGCAACGGTTTTCTCTTGTTAATATACCTTAGGGTGGTTAGGATTTTGCGGATGTGGATATTTTATTTTTTTAAATAAATATTAAATCTTATAGTAACGGTTGTCTTTTGTTGTTAATAGGCTGTAGCAACGGTTAGAATTTGTTGACGTGGTTTTTTTATTATTTTATAAAAATTAATCTAATAGCAACAGTTGTTATATTTGCAACGGGTATAGATCGTTGCAATAAGCTAATTGCAACGACTTTAATAGTAACGGATTATTTGCAACGGTTTTAACCATTGTTAATGTATTAGAAACGGTCCATACCGTTACTAAGAGGCCTATAAGCAACGGTTAGAACCATTGCTATAAGGGGCTTTTGTAGTAGTGAAGTGAGGAGGACAACCAATCTAGGATATGATCCACCAATAAATCTGACATTTATCTAAACCATCAACCATGAGTATACCAACATGGCTATCAAAAATTCATAAGATATTTCATTATCAATGGGACTTGGCCTAAACGGACAAGCTAAGAGTAAACCCCTTTAATTTTTAGCTAATTAGAGTATTATTCGTGGACTGGCCAGCCTCAATCATCCTTCCAACACTACGTGATTTCATATTAGAATTTACTCTCCCTTTGGGGACTATGTGGACTCTTACACTTCTTGTTGAAGAGTAACTAGATATTTCAGAAGAGTAGAATAAATCTAAAGAACTGACTGGACATCAAATAGTAACAAAATTTGAGCTATTAGGTATCATAGTTAAAATTCCGCAATCTTTCAAACGTAAAACCACATTAATGAATCCGGTGTCCAAGATAGTTGTGGTCCAAGATAGAAATGTGATATTTAAAGGTCTATACAATAAAGATGGACTAGCTAGGCTAATCTACTGGACATGATTGTCTCAATTCGATCAATCCTTTTTAAACATTGACTCTAAACATATTTAATCATACATCCATATTACTCCCTTTTCATTGTTGGACTAGACTGAATCCTACTGTATGCATATTACTCTCTTTTCATTGTTGGACTAGACTGAATCCTACTGTATGCCTTTTAACTAAACCAATCTCATACCTCAACCAAAGGAATGGAAGACACTTCTTTAAGATTTATTGTTCTATTGGACACGGTTAGGGATGTCAATTTTGGTCCATACTCATTTACCTACCTGACCCGCTCATCATTTGGCCTGCCCAACGCCCACCCATTTAATTAAATAGGTCTAATTGGACGGGTTCATTTTACATTATTCTAAATGGGCACTAAATGGGCAAATGGGCAGTTGTTTATTCGCCCGTTTGCCCGCCCACCGTATTCCCAAAACCAAAACAAAAGAAACCCGATCCCAAATTCCCAATCTCCTCTTTCTCCTCCACCTCAATCGGTCAATCCCAATCTCCTCCGCCTCAATCCCGATCCCAATCTCCTCCGCCTCCTCCTCCGCCTGAAGTCGCCGCCTCCGCCACCTCAAGTCGCCGCTGAAGTCGCTGCAGCGCAGGATCCTCGCCGGCGCCGGAGGGGACGGCTCGGCCGCGGCGGATTACCTCCCGTTTGAGTTCAGGTTGGAGGCCGCCTGTGCGTTTCTCGATACGCAGGTAGACTCTTGGTTATGACTTATTAGAGAACAGTTTTTGCCTGGAGAGTTATTATGATGAAAAGGTGAAACTATTGGGTTTGGTTCCTTTAGGGAGGGATTTGATGATTTAAGATAAAATTTTAGGCTAATTGCAATGGGACATTGGTACCAGTCAATGCAGATTTCAGAAGAGACACTATAGTTGTAGCTTTGTTTCTGACTTCATGTAACATAAAATTTCAAGTATGAACTAAATAAATAAGCTCTAATATTTATAGTTAGAATGTTATGGACACTCCTATTCAATTTCATGATAAGTGAAACTTGTTGGTTACGGTGCCTGTGAAAAGGAAAGGATGCATGATCAAAGTGGTCTTTCTTTTCAGGAAGTATGATTATCCTAGGAAATCTATGGTTTGAAGTGGAAACATTGTCTTTTTTTTCCCTCTACATTTCAAGGGTGTTCATGTTTTGAGGGGATAATATTAACTGACCTTGCCATCTCGGTGAGGTCATTTTATTGAAGACATCATCCACTTTCTATATGTTGTCAATAGAATAACAAGGTTTCCCAAGTATTGACTAAAAGGGCTAAATTGCTTCTTATCAATTTTAACATGAAAAGTTGTGAGTCTGTTTGTAGATATCCTTGATTCGTCTTCCATGCAAGTCAAAACTAAAAGAAGTAGCTTTTTCTTGCCGCTATATTGAACCTTGGTCTTCCAAAAGTGGCCATTTTAGTGAGAGAGATTCGAGTCATTAATTAGAACTTAGAAGCATATACTTCCTTTTCTTTTGCCTCAGGCAACTCGCTATAGAATATCATACTCATATCCTTTTAGTGTGTAAGGGGAATTTGGAGGGTTCTCAGTTATACATGAGCTTGAGTTGGGTGACCAAAGAGTAGATTTTTCAATACAGCATTCTAACTCATGGTTATCTTGCCTAGGATTTGGATCACACTCCATGGATTTGGTTTCGATATCAGTTAGTATCCTGCTTCTGCCAAACACTTGCTACATAACAGAGACTTGCTGAGTGAATTCATTACTGTTATTCATGCATATCAAACACTTGCTACATAATCGATGTGTATGTGAATTAAATGCTGCATTGTTGTTGTTGTTATTGTTTTCCCTGTTTTGTTGTTAGAAGCATTTTCGCACAAAAAATCAAATACAGACGTAGATAAATATGTGCATATACATAAAATTTACATACACTCGTGAATTAACTGCTGGGGTAGTCTTTTTTGGGCTTATATGTCCCCGTTGATTACCATTTGCCTATGCCATTGCATGGCTGCTCAAATACTTATCGTCATAGTTTTTTCATTTCTTAATACATATATAGATCTATTTGCATGTTGAGTCAATTTATATTCCACTTTATTATGTGTTTACTACCAAAATTGATGTGCTATTAAATTATTTTTTTCAGCGATCATGTCTTTAAATGATCAATTTAGCATCCATGATGATGGTAGTGATGATGAGAGTACTTCTAAACGTAAAAGAAGACAAACATCAAAAGTTTAGGATCACTTTACGAAGTTATCTGCCGATAATGATGAGAAAACTAAAGTTCAATGTAATATATGTAATCATATTTATGTTGGTGGTCATGGCACTAAGACAATGTTGAGGCATATGGATTTTTGTCCGAAAAGGAACTTAGATGAGGCTGATTCTTCCAGGAAAAGTATGCCACTAAATCATATTTATTAGTACATGATTTCAGTAATCTAGAGGTTTATGAATCGGAAGGCGAAAGTGATTAAGGTAAGATTTTACTTGTTCCATGAAATTAGTGTACATCATAAACTTGCTTTTCTAATGTTGTTGGCTAAATATTGATTGTTGTTATAGATACAGAGCTAACCATTGTGAAGCTGGGGCATGAATCCGTGTCTTATCAGTTTCCATGTAAAAATAAAGATTTATATGGTTGGCATTCTCTTATGAAATATGTGTGTTATAGATAGCAAATTATCCCTGACACCATATGCTGACCAGGCTTAAGCATCTTTCTCTGCACCTTTGCATGTTTTGGTTACAACATATAAATAACTGTTTGCTATTTTCTCAAGGAGCAAGCTCAGTAACCTAAGAACTGAATGTAAGATTGTATAATCCTGGTTGTAAGTGTAGATGAAACAATTACCTGGGAAAAATGTTAATTTTCATGATACTAAGGTAGTTCTGCAGCAAAAGGAGCATTTTTGTGTTGTCTTTTGTTGTTCAAGTGTTTCTGTGGAAAGAGGGTTGGTGCTCCCGTTTGGACAGTTTGATATATTGGTAATAAATGGATGATAGAACTTGATTTGCTACACATAAATTGCTCCCTTTGAACCAGCATTCCTAGTATATTGCTGATATGCTTAGACAAAATACCAGCATTCCTAGTATATTGTTGTGCATTCTGACATTTACTGCTTGAGCAGAGTATGGAAAGGCAAAATTATATGCTTAGACAAAAGTTTTTCCTTGTATGTAGTAATCTTTTGCTTATCGTTTATTTGCTGGGTATTGAATTCTATACTTTCGCTTTGTTTTTCAGATTAATTGAAGATGAAGAATTTAAAAGAGTGGTTTTCCTATGAGCTATTGTCTAAATCATTACTATCTGCAAGGCCTTTCAGCTTCTTTTATGAGGAATCACTGGATGGTGAACTTGGCAACCGAGGTTCGGCCTTATTTTATGCTGTATTAAGTCATATAATCCTTTTGCTGTTAGATTTTCAAACTACTTGAACTGAGTGTCACATGCCTTTTGCTCAAAGTTCAAGCATATTAACAATGCATGCAGGTCTCTTGGCTCTGGTTCCTGTATTTACTATCATGTTTCCTGTTCTCGTAAAACCATAATTTTGTTATATGATTACGTATCTGATAAGTTCTTTGTGTATTTAGCTGATCTTTAGTCCCCTGGTTCCCAAAGATCGCATCTTGCTATCTAGTGTTTCATTATTATGACAATATCATACGTTTGTGACAAATGTAACTAATTCTATGGATGATTGATGCAGGAGAAATATTGAGGTCTCTATGGTGATTTCGGATTCTAACCCTTGCTATGAAGACGCACATATGAGGCTTGCTGCAGTACTTTTAATGTTGCTATTGAGTACAACTGAGTGTTATGTTTGTTTCATGGTCTTTTCTTTCTTCTGTCATGATCTTGTTCATGCCTGAACATTTGAAAGATGGGAAATAAGTGGACTATGGTTGTGCTACTATTTTGTTTATAGACGAACTTACTACTCTTCTAGTTTATCAAGTAATTAAGTAGATTGTCCTTACTAATCGTGATCGTGTTGCTGATAGTTATGATGGCATTTATATCAAGTTATTGATCTTATACAGATCCTTGCATACCTTGTGTTTTCTTTCTTAATTCATTTAAATATTCTTTCAATTTTGTTGTTATTGATCTTTTGGTTTTTGGTTTGGAAATTTGAGGTTAATTTTGCAAATGTGTGAGGTATGTACTTTTATCCAGACTTGTAAATGGTTCAATCATGAACTTGTCTGCCTTTGTTTATCTTTGTTTATGTTCCTATCTTTGTTAGTAAATTATCAAAAACCCCAATGAGTTTGCAAAAAGCTCCCAAAAAGTTTGCAAAAAACCCACAATAGTTTACAAAAAAAACCCCTAAAAGTTTACAAAAAACACCCCAAAAGTATTATACATATATAGTTACTATAGTTAAATAGGCAAATGGGCGACCCGTTTATTAAATGGGCGGGTAAAAATCCGCCCATTTAAATAATGTTAAATGTGCCATAAATGGGTAAATGGGCAAAACATGCCCGTCCATTTATGACTCGCTCATTTAATACTCATACCCACCCATTTAACATCTCTAGGCACGGTTACGTAGTTGATTTGTGTTTAAAATACAAAGGTCGTTAAATTTTTTTTAATTGTTTCAGTTTATGGAGCGCGATTATTGATATTTGCTGGATGAAGTGTTCTGAGGTCCATACGTGCAGCAAAAGGATAAATTAAAACTGTCTTAACATAGCTTACTATATCCCTTAATAGGGAAGTGTGTGCTTGATTCTCCTCAATTAATGAGAGTTAGAGTTATATCTTCTTTAATTTATAAAAGCCTCAATTAGTCTTATGTACATACTATTTTTTTCTCTTCTTTTATTATATTGATCTTTCCCTGTGATGCACCAATATGCCTTTTTCCATACACACATCCAACCACTATCAAGTCTAGCTAGCTCGAACTTGGATTCTCTCTACTATCAAAAAGTAATAGAGAAATCATTAATTTTTAAATTAATTGTTGATTATTTAGCGAGTGGTTGAGATTCATTCTAAATTTAGCACTCATCTTACTCTCATGTAGTGCACTCCTACCTAATTTGCACTTAAAGTAAAATCACGATCATTGATAAGGAAATCCACGATTCTAATAAAGTGCTAATGGTCTCTCCACTGTTTTTTTATAATGGCCGAATCTATCCAACTATTGATTCTAGTTTTATTTGGTAATATTCTAAGCATATATATAAGTGATTTCACTACTAATATCTACTCCAATATCTACCGTATATTTACAAACAATTTGGACTAGCTCACCAATTAGCTATAGTAAAAAACGGAGTATCCTAGACGAAAAATTCCATCTAGAAAAGTCAAATTTCCGTCTAAAAAGGATATCCTAGACGGAATTCCGTCTAGGATGTTGGTCCAATAAGATTCCGTCTAGGATGTAGTATCCTAGACGGAATTTCTGTCTAGAAATCATCCTAGACGGATAATCCTAGACGGAGATGAATTCCGTCTAGGATGCATCCTAGACGAAAATTCCATCTAGGATACTTCCTAAACGGATTTCTGTCTAGGATACATCCTAAACGGAATTTATTTCCGTCTAAGATAGTAGGTATCCTAGACGGAATTTACGCCTAGGATACTGATGCTACAGTTTTTTTTTTTTTTTTTTTTATACTGATGCTACAGTTTTTTTTTTTTTTTTTTTTGGGTTAGGAATCTACTTTGTGCATTGAAAACAATGGGTAAGCTTGAAAACAAACAAATTCAACCAAACTCTAGCCATGACAAAAGTTATATATTAATGGTTTGTTTTGTATACAACAAACATGCAGTTTGGCAATACGTGGCTAGCAATCCATCTCTCAGCATCTCTATATAAATAATGAACAATTAAAAAGTAATTAACTAAGGGCTTAAGTATTCAATATCATCAATTTAACATACACACACACACACCAGCCCATACACACACACATCCAGCGGGATAATATATACCATCAGTTTCCTTGGTAATAATATAGTGCAAGCAATATGTCAACATGAATTTGAAAATAGGAGCTCAGTTTGTCTACAATAGCATTCTCACTTCAAGTCAAAAGAACAATAGCAATCCAAAGTAGAACAATGTGCCCTAAACCAACGAGAGGCCTACCAAGCATATTACACAAAATTTCTCTTCTTCCTTATCTTGAACTTGATTTGGTGAACGGTATGTGGCCTCCACTATATACCTAGAGATAGGACAAACATGTGCTTAGATTCCCAATCCTCTCTTCCAAAGCAGGCAGTACCTGCACCAACCAAGCAACTAGTTATAATAACAACTAATCAAGAAGTGAAGCTTACTCAACGTCACTATCACATTTGCATAAAAATCTTATCTTTCCAATCTCAACACATTCATCATCAAATCTAAACTCATTCACATTGCAAAATATTTAGTGTTACCTGGGTCCTCAAAATAGCCTGTAAACCTTTATGTTTGAACACTATATAAGCCTATCTATGAAATCCAGTACATATCACAATAATCCTTTCTAATTATATTAACAATAAAACTGGAAAGAAAGAAAAACTGTACAACTATCTAAATAGGTGGTAATAAAACAATATGTCGTGTAAGAACTTTGTGTCATGATTAATTGAGCACATCCCTGTTATCCCAACAAAGTTTTGATGAAAAAACAATATAATATCATATATACGAGTTCATGATATGAAAAGCATCAGATAAGTGCAAATGACCTTCATGGGCCTGCCAACACTAGATATATGTAACTAGATTATTCACCTAAGAAACAATATAATTTGGAAATTAATTGGAATGGAAATGTAAAAACAGAGACATCAATTTGGATGAGATGCATAAATTAAGAGTTGCTTTTAACTCGTTGCATGTGAGAGATTTAAAACTTACAAGCCTGAGTAAGATTACGCTAACAATATCTTCCAACAATTTAGCGTTAATTGGCACAAGGGACCTCATCTACTTGACAGTCCTCTACAAAGCTTCTCTTATTTGATCATTTCAAATTATTGTTCTGAGGTTGCATCACAATTCTAGTTTGCCAAAAAAGGTAGAGTGTAGCCTCAGATCGTGACCAATGTTGAAAATAACGATAATGCATAACGTAATGCTAAATTTATAACTTGTTTATAATTACATTTGTTTTGTAACTCATATTCATACTTTTACGATCACATAACGATGTCACCAAAACAAGACATGAAAGCTTGACAAACAATTTAAAAGTAACTATTTACAGTTTCAAATGGTACATCTCTGTTTTCTTATAGCAATATATTTGGTAAACAATGTATTTTTACAATTGCAAGCTACACACACAAACGGCTTCCAGTCGCAAGCTAAAGGACTGTACAAAATACTACGCTTAAAACAAAGGTTTTTTTTTGGGAAAAATGTGTCCAGGCCCCAAAAGTGAGAACTTCGTGTGACTAGCCCCCCCTGTACTTTGCCCCATGTGGAATAGCCCCAAAAAATGGGCTTTAATGTTTTAAGCCCCCTCCACGTCAGCTTTATACTAAAAGCAGATGGTATTTTACAAAAAAACCGAAACTGCCCTTCTCTTTCTTCCCCAGACGAGTCCTGGAAGTCACTTCTCATTAATGCGATATGATGGGGAAAATGGAGGGAAATTTTCCCCTTTTTTTACTCCATCTAACTAGTTAGTTCTCTATTACTCCTCCTCCTCAGACCAAAATTCTCTCCATAACTCTCTCCATCATGAGCAATAACTAGTTAGTTCTCCATTACTCCTCCTCCTCAGATCAAAATGGCTGAAAAGGATATCATCTGCATTGTCTCTTCGCAGTATAAAGCGGTATTCTTGAAGATTAATTCTTCAACCACCATTTTGGATCTCAAGTTTGATGCGGCAGAGAGGTTAGATCTTCCATACGAATCATTAATTTTGGCATACGAAGATCAAACAGTTGGAAGCTTAAAATTTCTCATTGAGAACGATGGTGATCTGACGTCTATGGTGGAGCATTGCCACAATCTTGGACTGAAAGAGGTTCACGTGCAAGCTTTTAAAGAAGGAGATGATTCTTCGAATAAACAGGAAAACGAGCAAGTCCGACAAGACATGTAGGTTAACTGTAAAATCAATTAACTTAAGTTCTAATCGTCTTCTTATTAGTTCTATACTAGGTTTAACTGGACTTCAGTTCTAATGTTTTATTTGTCATTAAGCAGTTCTTTGTTATGCTCCATACTAGAGTTCTAATGTTTTATTTGTCAGTTCTAATCGCTATTTTGTTAGTTCTACTAGAGTTATTGCTGGTTCCACTATAGTTCCCATATTGTTAGTCCTAATTGTTATAAATTAGATATAACGTGGTATAAATTAACGTGGTATAAATTAGACAATGTAGGTATAAAATAGAACTAACAAGCCATCAGTTAGAATTGACACTAACACACTACAGATTAGAACTAACACTGTGCATATTATTAGAACTAACACGCTACCGAATAGAACTAACACTGTAGGGGATTAGAACTAACACTCTACAGAATAGAACTAACACTGTGCAGATTATTAGAACTAACACGCTACAGAATAGAACTAACACTGTGCAGATTAGAACTAACACTCTACAGAATAGAACTAACACTGTGCAGATTAGAACTAACACTGTGCAGATTAGAACTAACACTCTACAGAATAGAACTAACACTGTGCAGATTAGAACTAACACTCTACAGAATAGAACTAACATGTTATAATTTTGAAATAGCTTGTTATAAAATAGAAATAACTTCGTTAAATTAGAACTAACCTTTAATGGCTATATTGTTTGTTCTAATAGCTATTATGTCAGTTCTAATCAATGCACTGTTAGCTCTAATGGTTATATTGTTAGTTCTTTTAGTTCTAATTGATTCTAACAGCAAGCAATTGTCGTTTTTGCTTTTTAGCTTTTGCTATTATCTGTTGATACTTCTATTATTTGTGCAGTTTGAAATCAAAAAGTGTAGACTGTGGCCCGT